GGGCTCATCTACCATCCCCCCTCCTACCTCCAGGGGCTCTTCTATCACCCCCACTCCTACCTCCAGGGACTCATCTACCATCCCCCACTCCTACCGCCAGGAACTCATCTACCATCCCCCACTCCTACCTCCAGGGGCTCCTCTACCATCCCCCACTCTTACCTCCAGTGGCTCCTCTACCACACCCCACTCCTACCTCCAAGGACTCCTCTACTATCCCCCACTCCTACCTCCAGAGGCTCTTCTATCACCCCCACTCCTACCTCCAGGGACTCCTCTACCATCCCCCACTCCTACCTCCAGTGGCTCCTCTACCATCCCCCACTCCTACCTCCAGTGGCTCCTCTACCACACCCCACTCCTGCCTCCAGTGGCTCCTCTACCACACCCCACCGTACTAGTAGTAGTACTGCTGTAGTAAGAATTATTATTGATTGTTTCGTCCTATTATTAACTGGGCCATATCATGACAACATATAAGCAATTTACTTATTAAACACTCCTGTTATCTTTTTATAGTAATCGAGATTAATAAGTGTACTATTAGTAGTATTACTAGTATCAAGAGCTACTATAAATTACTATAAATTAATTTCGTCTTACATTTGTACTTGTTTTGGTTTGACGTGTAGAAAACAGAAGTGCATCCCTAGATCCCATGACTCTCTGCGAAATGAACAATATTTCAAGTTTACTTAGACTGGTACTCGCTCCCACCTCGATTACTTGATTGGAGTAGTTTCCCATTGAGTAACTAAGCCGAGAGGTGGGACCGGGTACCAGTCTAAAGTTTATTATGGCAGCGCCCTATAGAAAACGTTTCTAATTACCAATTTTATTGTTAGGCTAGAGTTGAATAGCTTTATTACACAGAATACCATGGAGAGTGCAGTGGTTATATTTTAAATTCGTTAATACACACCATATACCAGTATGAGAGTTGTTGCTTTAGTGAGGTTGGTACCAGCCGTAGTTCAAGTAATAACAACATATTCATTACACTAATTATACATAATACAGACTTACAGTTACAGTGCACTAACTGGCGCGGTTACTGCGCGTGTAAAGTTAATTAGACATATGTTTTGTTTAAATATTAGCTAACTGTTATAGAATTGTGATAAGTTGGGAGAAGGTAGGCAACAATAACATTAACAAAAGTGAATCCAGATAAGTGGGAGAATTAAGATGGTCCCAGAAAATGAAAAGGTAAGAGTGGGGGATGGTAGAGGAGCCCCTGGAGGTAGGGGTGTGTTATGGTAGAAGATCGAGCCTCTGAAGGTAGGATAGGGAGTAGGGGCCCTTGGAACGTCTCAATAAAAAAAATGTAAACACGAAATGTATTTACTATTTACTACCAAAGTCTTAATGTTTCTCTACTCTATTTCGCCTATTATTGCCGATAATCACCTGTAAATGCCGTTCAAATGCTCATCTGCAACCAGGGTTCGGATTTTGGCTGAAAATCTAGTAGTGGACAGCAGGACCACCAACTTCAGAAAGTCGGTGGTCCTGCACAAAAGTTGGTGTTCCGCTTATTTACTAGCAGTGAGTAACAAAATGGTATATAAAAATAACCATTGGCATTAACAGCATACATGTAACATAGAGTTGGTCAAATCATATATTTCAAGCTCTAGGAATGTCGGGGAAGCATCTGGGAAAGGTTTTACTTTCGTTTTTCTCCTCCCCAGTCCTGGGTACCCCCATGCATAGATCAATGCTGCCGCACATCCGCAAAGTTACAAGTGCCTAGAATCTTGAAGTATATACAGTTTACATTGCTTCTAAGTTCTAGATATCTAACTGAATTAAAATAGTCCACTTTCTACGTAAAGAAAAATGACGAATTCAATTAACAGCTTTGATTACGTGCGTGTCAGGTGTCACTGGTCGTGCCCTCACTCCCCACGATAACCCCTGCGACATATGAACTTATTGTTATGCGGTCATAAAAACACTAGCCTACGCTACATGCTGCAATCGATTTCTTAGACTGTCACGAGGTTTTGTTCGTGTGGCGAATCATGATTAGAGGATGTTTTGGATACCCCGTCTACGTTCAGGAACGGAGCGTATTAGAATGCGCTCCCATTGACAAGTCTGTCTAAACTGCCGTTGCGATAACCGTAGTATTTCAGCATAGTATTAGTAATATGAGGGGGAAAAGTGCAGGTCAGGAGGACCGGCAGTTTCGTAGAGGTGGTGGCCGAAGCAAAAACTTGGTGGCCTCGGGCCTCCGGGTCGGCACTAATTTCGAACGCTGTCTGCAACACACAAGTACACCGCACGCCCGCCCTGTGCACAAACAACATGAATAACACAACTCTCTTTGTTTTAACACAACTCATGTTGTTTGTGCACAGGGCGGGATGCGGTGTACTTGTGTGTTGCAGATGAGCATTTGAACGGCATTTACAGGTGATTATCGGAAATAATAGGCGAAATAGAGTAGAGAAACATTAAGACTGGTAGTAAATACATTTCGTGTTTACATTTTTTTTTTATTGCGACGTTCCAAGTGCCTGTGACTAGGACAGGTTACACTCTGACTCAACTATGA